GAAAAATAGATTTTAATGGCAATGGATTCAGTGTATTAGGGTATCAGTGTATACAAGAACCCATGCATATTTTGGTTTTAAAATATACTGCGTAAGCAGTATGCAGGTAAAAAAATCACGAGTTAATGAATAATACGATCCACCGACTGCGGCTTTCGCTACAGCGCGTTGTTAAAGCAGCAATGGACGATTATACATACATACATACAGACAGCACATACTTTTCACAACGCAGTATCACTGAAATCGCTGGGAAGCAAATCCAAATAGTTCGAAAAACAATTATTAAATGCTAAAGTATTGAAATGTTTTTTTTTTAAATCTGCTAGTTTTAACAAAAAATTACACTTTACTTCTTGTCTGAACATGTAATGCTAAATGGTTCATACTTTTGCACACCTAAGAAAATTTCTCCAAATTCTCATTACAAATCGAAGAACAAAGACTCGTTCCCATCTGTATTCAGAATTCAACATGTATATGAGATAGGGATCCCAGGGATAGGGATCCCAGAATTAAGAAACGTACACAGAATACATTTCTCTCCATAGTATGTCGCACAAATTTTTAACCGTTTCTGATGTTAAATAAATAAAACATGAAGCTTTGTAATGGTTTCAAGTCCAACAATGAGAATTCAAAATAATTTCAAATTGACAGCTCGTCAAACAAAAGGGGGAGGAAATTCAAATATGCGATTTCATAATTTGTAAAATTAAACAAAACTACTCACACTTTCAAACGATTGTACATGTCCGTTTTTAAAGAACAGATGTGTATCTTTAATATCTATATTGTATTTTTGCTGTGTTGATTTTTTGTTTGTTTTCAATTTTCGAAAGACACAGAGTGCGCAGAAATGGGTACCAGCATCATTGTCTTTACCGTACTTTGCAGTATATAAGAAGAAAACATTAAGAAAAAATTGGAGCAGTGTTTGAGAAAATAATGTTTAAAATGGTTTTAAAGGTGTCTACGTTTCATGCAAAACTCGGCAAAGAATACTTACATTTTCGAAAAATTGAACTTGACTTTACTTGATGTTTCTGATGAATATATTTCATTAAGGGGAAAAAATCTGCATAATTGTAATTGTCAGAAGAAGCGGAATTTTTTTCGAAAAATTAGTGATTTTAACGAACATGGACGAATTTAAGGAAAACGAGACCTGCACCATTCACCTGACCAAGCGTTCGTTAGGCTATACAACATAATTTAATTTAAAAAATTGGTACAATTTGTTTGAAAATTTTGAAAATGTCCCGGGAACTACATGCAAAATACCCTCCAAAATTAAATTATCAGTTTTAAAATTGAAGGGGCCGCGACATCGGACAGATCAGTTGAATATCAATTTTAGACAAAATCCCGCATAAGGTTTCGCAGCTTGCTTTCACGAACACATGGACGGACAGATGTTTTGCCGAAAATCGATTTTGCGGTGTCGGGAACCCACCATTCATGAATTCTAACTACACAACGTGACAGAGGAAGTAATTTACTATACATGGGAACAATTATTCACATTTTCGTTACCAGGGCCCGGCAATCAGTTTTTCTGTCGAAAATTCGCCTTTTTCTCCACAGCATTACCGTACATTCTCCATATTGCGCAAGCATGAAGAGATGGTAAAACTGGGATCCGTCCAACAAAATGTACAAAATATCAAATAGTCAAAACATTTAACAAAGACTTTGGAGGTTCACCCGGACTACGGAGTAAGGTACCATGATTTACTAAATTTCAGAATTTTTGTCTTAAATCTGTTTGATGGAATTCTGATTGCTTAATCTGTTTGAATCAGTTCTATCATGGGCAGTATTTTCCTTTCCAGCAGTACCACGTTTATGAGATTTTGTATCGATGGGGCCATAAATCCTGCTGAACTGTTCGTTTCTATTGGTATATAGAATGGAACGGATAATTCCGGTCTGGTGCAAGTATTGAATTGACATAAATATTTTACTCATTTTTTTCCTAAACTACCCTTTCTCAAGGCCGTAAGGCAAAAACCCTTTGAATTAGCTATGTAGTATATAGTAAAATATATTGGTCCTGCATAACTTAATCTATTAAAAATAGTTTTTGCAAAACTGTAGGCAAATTTCCTTGGTTATAATACAACGAATATCTTAGCACTCTACTTATACTTAGAGAAGACAAAAAAGTTTAGTCTAAAAGTTCTTGAATGGTTCTATTTAATAATTTTCAACAAGTCTTTGAGAAAATTGGATCTACAAAATTACAATTTAAAAATTAATGCAAAATTGAATTAATAAATTTAATATTATTTATATTATAATATTCAATTATATTCTTCATTTAAAGTAATTGACTGTTAATGTTACTGATTATTTGCAGTTCAAATAAATAAATAACATACTTTTTGAATGCATAATTTATTGCATTGTTCAAACACATCAATTACTACAACAATGTATTACTTAAAATTTGTTAAAGTACACTATTATTAAATTATAAATATATATATATATATATATATATATATATATATATATATATATATATATATATATATATATATATATATATATATATATATATATATCCATTACTTTACAAATTTCATTTATAAATGTTCAAAATTCTTCAGGGATCTAAAAAAAATATACAATAAGATTTTAATATTCAGCTTGTATTTAAATAAAGAATATAATCGAAAGAATAAAAAATAAACAATTTTAATTTACGTTAAAATTAAAGGAACTTTTTGAATTAGGTAAAAATATTACATGGTGTTATAATTACAATATTATGCAGCACAACTCGCATGTCATTTAGTAAACACTTAAACCTATGATGAATTGTATTCCTTGTTTTGTCTCATATGTGTTAATAATCCAGTTACTTTATTAGTTAAAGGTTCATTTTGAGTTATAAATAACTACCATGATCATTATCAAAAAATAAATTAGGGCAATTTCTTAAAAATAATAACCATAAGCAAATTGTAAAAAAAAGCAAAAACAAACAACAGACAGAAAGAGAGAGAGAAAGAAAGAGAGAGAAAGAGAGAGAGAGAAAGAAAGAGAGAGGGAGAGAAAGAGAGAGAAAAGAAAGAGAGAGAGAGAGAGAGAGAGAGAGAAAGAAAGAAAGAGAGAGAAAAAGAAAGAAAGAGAGAGAAAGAAAGAAAGAGAGAAAAAGAAAGAAAGAGAGAAAGAGAGAGAGAGAGAGAGAGAGAGAGAGAGAGAGAGAGAGAGAGAGAGAGAGAGAGAGAAAACTCACGCCAGGTGATGTCGAAGAAAATTAAGAAATGTTTATTTTGAGTCTAATAAAATTAATTTTTTGGACATCATTATTTAAATTATTTAAACCATACCCAAAATTAACTTCCAATAATTATAGATTTCATTACAAGTTATAATACATTTTTCACTCAATTTCTTTGTCAGATTAGTTTTTAATAGAAAAAATCTTAATATTTTATGTGTGAAACACTACAAATGGTTAAAATCGTGATTTCATGCAAAAAGGAAAAGAAATGTCACATTACCATGCACAAATCTATTAAAACAGGACATTCACTTAGTTTCAATTTCCTGTCAAAAGTTTCAAAGAATAATAGAAGAATATGAATGTTTATGCTGAGAAGTGATCAGATTTAATATTCTACTATAACCAATTCCATTATGCTCTCTGACAGAAGCATTAAAGACAACTCCTGTCAATAAAAATGTGATAGCATTGATTACCTATTATTAAAGGTTAAAAAGCTGTAAAAATTTGATGTACTATCTTTTTTTCATACATTGTAAACACAAATTTGTAAAATTTGAGAAGGGCAGGAGCCCTAAATTCCCAATAATAATCGCCATATCAATAAGGTGAAAGTTTTAAACTGCTTGCCTTTTTACCTAAAATATTCATACTAAAGGGATAACTTCAGAATTTCACACAATATTCTCCATAATGTACCAGCTCTCTGTTCGTGCCGTGACTTCCCATGGCCTAAATCTAATTCTCACTAATATTTTGTGTTGAAATCATTCAACAGTAAAATGTGTAAAATAGAAAGCAAGATCGCTCCGAGACTCTTCACATTAATCTAATTCGCAAAAAAAAGTAAATATTGTTTTAAAGAACGTTCAAATTTCACGACATAATTAAAATACACAAATGGAAATTTGCGACACCCTGAAATACTTACAGAAATTGGAATTATTGTAATGCTGATTTATAAATATTAACATGCCAAATTAAGGACTCAAAGAAAAAGGAATTTACCAACTTGGCTTTACAATAAAAGGAACAAACTATTGCATGAAAATAAATTTAAGAAGTGTTGCTACCACCACTGTCATTACTTTACTTCATTGTAAAGTAATTAATTACAATTTCCTAAAAGTAAATAAAAACAATTTTGCAGAATATTTGCAAGACACTAAGGATAAAGATGAATCAATTATTTTGGAAAATAATGAGTACATTTACAATAAAAAAATTCAATACAGTTACTGGAAACAGGATCAAATTAACAAGAACCTTTTGTTAATTTTTGTTTTTTGTGTGCATGGCTACTATATCAATTACATATTTGACATAAAAATAAAGCCTTCTTAAATCAGTAGGTAGGGATTCTGATTCACTGACAAAGTTTCAACCATTATGGTAAAAGAATAAAAAGTCTAAAAAAGAAAGGGGCTATAAAGTGTTAAACACAATGGTGCAGAAACACTTCAGTAAACTTGAATATCAAAGAGTGCATGGGCTGCAAATGGTGTAGTGATATTGTTTTAATATTTTTTTTCGCCCATTAAAACTAAGCCCTTTGAAGAACTATTCTTTACATAAACCAATTATACTCTTTTCTGCTCAATCTAATAACCCTAATACTTTCAAATAAAAAAATCTGTTTAAGAATGTTGACAAGTTATTATTTCAATTATTCAGTGAACACTAAACACACAGGAAAATTGTGATGAGAATGAAAATCTCCAAAACAATGTGTAAACTTAAAAAATAAGAAAATTGTTCTTACTTTGGTACCGTTTTCCTGCACCCACAAATGCACACGCCCACAACAGCAACAAGTGGAACCACAACACCGAGTGACACCGCCCAAAGAGGCGCAAAATCATTTTGTAACATGTCTTGTTTTTAATGAGTGCCACATCCGATAATGTTATAACACGTTTAAGACGAAGAACACTTCAAAGACGATTCTATCTAAATTAACGGCACTCCCAAAAATTAACCTATTGGCCTACTTGTCAACACTAGTTTTAAATGGTTCGCTTTAAGTAAATCGTCATTTATATCAGAAAAAAAAAAACACTTTAATCAAGGGAGTCCAGCGTGATATATTTTACAAATAAATATTATACACTCCACACGTATCCCAAATTTTACAACAATCACTGCATGAGCAACACAGTCCTTCGGACACCAACATCACTGGGAATCGTTGGGAGTGAATTAAAGAGGAGTGGAATCAAGTGGGGTGGGGGGTGGGGGGGCAGAGGCGTCGGGAGAAGGGTATGTTATCGAGACGTTAGTCAGAAATTATTTGTCACTAACTTCCGCTAGGGGCGCTAAAAGAAACCATTTTCGAGATCAACATATCCATTTATGAACTCAGGAGTTCACTGGTGCCGGTTCGTAGTCTTTTTCTTGGAGACTTGGAACTTCTTTCCCATAAAATTGTATGTACCTGCTGATAAACAATAGAACAAATTATAAAAATGGGACAGCACGAAATTATATATACTTTTGATGACCCTTCCATAGATAAACGGCGACAATATGTCACAAACAATTAAATCATAAAAATATGTAATCAGGTCCGTAGCTAGGATTTTGATTGCCCCTACCCCCGCCTTATTCATAAATGATGTATTTTTCTCAATAGAACTGTAACGAATTAAGTGCATGTATAACATTGAATGCAGTTCTATCATTACAATATCATAAAATGTTTATATACCTATTTATACACTTCATATTTTGTTAATTTTATACTTTTGTGTTATATTTTCTTAATTTTTGACATCATTCTAATACACAAATGAAGAAGTTATTATATTTGTTTTCATGACATTTACTTGGGCTAAGGAAAAGGAATTAATTAATTCTGTATCAAATCTTTTTGTGTATTAATCATTTATTACTATAAAGAATTCACAGATACAGTTAAAAGTTGAATAAAATTAGAAATATATTTATATAAAATGCATAACAGAATACTTGTGCAACAAAAGTAATCTCCTCGACATCTTTGCAGCCATAATATAGATTTACCTGAATCTGCAGAAATATCCGAATGAATTGAAATCATTGCAAGGGAATTTAGCCTACCATCCATCATCATAGTACGTACTAAATGTTTCCCTCGTTTCATTGAACAAAAAGATATCTCCACGCAATATGTTGTTAAGTGTAATATTTTGTTACTGCTAATCTAAGATCTCAGGGAGAAACTTAAACGTACGATACTATGGGCCGGTTGCATAAACGTTCGATATAGAATCCATAAGCTTATTGGTTCTGTAAAATAGTCCATAGCAAAGAGTATGTGGTACATAGGGGCAAAAAGTGTTTCTAGAACCACCAATAAGACTTATAGAACCTATAAGGCTTTCTATAATTTATAGGTTCTGAAACGGGTCTACAATTGCTTATGAATTCAACAAATGAGCAACATGGCTGCTCTGCGCACTGCTACAGCTGTTTTGTTTGTTTGAGGTTATTGGCGGTACCTGGCGTCCGTGTGTTGTGTTGTGCTTTAGTGGCTGTTACGAATTTTATTTGGTGTGTTATGTGCGTTTTAGGTGTATTTGTATGTGTTGAATACCAGTGAATTCTATATTCATAAATTATTTTTCCATGTATTATGACAAGAAGTAAGGATTAAATTAGGTTATGAAAATATGTTAACTTTTGCTATAATATTTGGCTTTTTCCTTTTTTCAATTCTTATTCAACAAGCACCAATATCAATCAATCTCCATCCAATGCTTACGTGTGGTATTCAACCCCTTTTGAGGACAGACACCTTCGTACATGATAGAATAAAGCTAGGTTGTGTAATGTACTGCTGTATAAATGAGTGCAATAAACGTAAACAATGGTTTTTCAATTATGCTAAATTTCAAAGATTCGTAAAATTCAGCCAACACTTAGCCCTTCGTAGAATCATCAGTTAATTTAATTTGCAATCATAATGCTGAAATTTGGTTTGTCATAAAGAACAATTTTCAGTTGTGAAACCATTTATTTCCCATAAATAGATAACCAATCAACATTACAATATTTATTGATGAACCAATGATGAAAACGTTTCCTTGAAATTGCTAGTATTACTATCAGTATTACAAATAAAGTTTGAATAATTTAAATGATTATTCTCTAATTATTTTTCTTTAAATTCCTGACGTATTTTAGTGCATTATTGCCTGCCTATATTTTCGAAATTAAATACCTTAACTTCTGGGCTCTACTTGTATACGTATTACATAATTGTTTAGATAAATTAATTATTACTTTTTTATTTCAAAGGGATTTTATTAGTAGTTCATTATTAATTATAATTTATTATTAATTGTATCAGCAAAAATTAATACTCGTATTTCAATTTAAGAATGGAAGGTAAATTAATTTATTTAAATACAAATAGGCGATGGCTAATATAAAGAATTGTATTTACAATACTATAAGAATTAAACAAAAAATAAACTTAAATGAAAATAATGACATAAAACGAAATTGCTGCCGAGAACGCGATAAGAAACACAACCAAAAACACCTCGAGTAAACGCAACACATGCTAAACATAGAGTATATACTCTCTGGAGTAGAGATATATGTATCTCTCTTCTATGATGCTAAGACGTGCACAAGTTGTAAGGAATAAGTAATTTTCAAATATCCACTGTGTCGCTATCTATTGGTTGCATCTCGAAATTCTTATAAAATCTATAGTTATATATTCCCTAAATTTGCTTTATGCAACGGTGCACAGCCTATGGAACCTATAAATTTTATTGTACCCATAGCTATGGAACCCATATGGAAAGCTTTATGCAACCGGCCCTATGTAATAAAACAGCTGAGGACAAAAATCTCGCAGCGACTACTGATGACAACATTCCAAACACATCTTCACTAGCGCGAAATAGAAACAATTTTCTTTTGAAGACGAAAACTTCTATCCGTTATTTTCTCCAAAAATCTAAAGAAATCACCAAAGCAGATAAAGATCTATCACAGGAGATACCTTGAACTCCTGAGAAAGTTAGAACGCAAATTATTGAGAATGTTGCGAAGGCATGACTGATTCTCCAGAGATTGGAATTGCTTCATAAAATATGGTGGTCGATTTCGTAACTAATACCCCCACTCTACCCAAATTTCTTCAATACATCGTTCAAGAAAAGTTGCGCGAGTAATAGCACTGGCAGCGGTGCCCTAACGCTCTGGAGGTTGTACGTCCATCGAATGACGAAAATGTAATTTCCGAAATTCAAAACACTTATGTATAATAAAATGTAAGATATTCAAGTATAAAAGTCTATACTGAAACATTACTTACACAATTTAATGCTTAGTGTTCGTATTAGATTTTTACTGGGCACTTAAGTTTTGCATTAGTTCTGCATTGAGACAATTGAAGGTAATGTAATTCATAGAAAACAAAAAAGAACTTGGTTTCGAAAATACGGTTATCGACTCCAGCACTTTGCAAACAAGCACAATATATAAGTTACATTGTGATGAATGGTTTATAGATAGTGGTGCTACTCATCATATTACAAATAGACGTGATTTGTTTTCTTCTTATAAACCATTTCAGAATTCCTGAAAAGTGCTCGTTAAGATGTGCAAATTGAAGCACTTGCTTCTCGTCGCATAAATGTAAAGACATTTGGCTGGGAAAATGGAAAAATCATTATTTTGAAAATGTTTATTATTCCCCTGATGTAACTTGCACTTTATTTTTACTTAAAAAGGCTGGGTAAAGAGAATTTATCAAAAGATTGAAAATGAAGAAAAATCATTTTTATAAAGAAGCAATTCTTATTGTAAGGCTTTATCAGATGACCAAAATGATCTTTGTAGATTATTAGTTAAAGTCAGGACAGAAAAATAATATATCATTTCTAATAATGATAATATTATTTAAAAATGTCTTGAAAAATTAGAATATCAAAATAAACGTCATATGAAGAAATTTTTAAGAAATAAAGGAATCAATGTAGAAATAGATGGTGAATTTGGTGAAGGTTGTGATTTGGGAGAACATCAAATGATTTTTGGCAATAGAATAGAGAAGTCTACCAAACCGGGAGAGTTAATTTTTGCTGATGTCTGTGGACCAATAGAACAAAGGACATACATGGGTATATATATTATCTTATTTTTAAATATGATTATACAAGTTTTAGAGTGACACGAAGAAAATATTAAGTTAAAGAAAAATTACCGTTATTTATTGAGATGATGAAGACGCAAGCTGAAGTGACAATTACAGAATTAGGAACCGATGGAAGTAAATAATTTAACAATCAAGAAGTACGGAAGTATGCAGAGAAGATGGGAAACATCCAATTACAGCTCCTTATACACTACAACATAACGGTGTTGCAGAAAGAGAAAATATGATACTTTGTGAAAGGCGAGATCATGTTTACAATCTGCACATCTTTCAAAAACTTTATGAGAAAAGCTATTTGAACTGCAACGTATGTGTTGAATCGAAGTGGTCCAACAAATATTGATTATAAATCTCCAATGGAATTATTTTTGAAAACGGAGACTCGTTTGGATCATTTACAGGTTTTTAGATAAGAATGTTTTGCGCGGATTTCTCCTCAGAAACGTAAAAACTCGATGCAAAATATTTTAAATGTTATTTAATTCGCAATTTATACGGTTTAAAACAAGCCTCAAAACGTTGTAATAAATGTTCAATTGAATTTCTTGAATAATGTAATTTACAAGAAAGTAGTGCTGAATCATGTTTATTTTTTTGTCATGATTTGATCTTATTATTTCATGTAGATGATGGATTAGTCGTAGATAAAAGTAATCTGATTGAAGAATTTATTAAAAAATTAGGAAAATGATTTTAAATTACTTCAGATGAGGTCAACTATTTAGGATTGCAAATTAAAAGGAACAAGGATTACATTGAAACTAATCAAGAATCATATTCAAGGAGAGTATAAGAAATATATGGTATGCAAGATTCAAACCCATTGTTAATTCCTATAGAACCTGGATTGATGTCTGGAGAATCATCGTTGGCTAATAATACTTGTTATCGAGAAATTGTTGATAGTTGGATGTATTTGACAATTAGAACTCGACCAGATTTGACATTTGCCGTCAATATTGCCTGAAGAGTTCAAGATGTACCAACAGAAGCACTTGTCAAAAACTAGTTAAAGTAAGTCTTCGATATTTAAAGGGAAC